TGTGACGCCGAGGGTACCTGCCCAAGCGTCAATATGTGACGAGTTGGGAGTGAGAATGTGTTGTCCAAATAGGTTAACCAATTAGGTCATTTGGTTTCTCTAAATTGTCTCTAGGTGTGTGCATGGTTGGTTGTCTTGTCTGTCTCTGTGTTGCCCTGTGACAGACTGGCCACCCCGCCTCTCGCCCGAAATGTTAGCTGGAGAGGCACCAGCACCCCTCCCGACCCCATTAGGGTGTACAGAAAATGGATGGATTATTGTGATTTTCAGTTAGAAGTGTTGACCTGTGTTAAGACTTTCTCACACTGATAACAGCCCTCTGCCCTTGAGAGAAATCGCTCCCAAGGAAAAAGACAAGATTACCTTGTGTGTGGGACCTGTAGACAAAACTTGCCTTCTGTCTCTTCTCTTTATCTCTCCCTCCTCCCTCCTCTGAGAATAAAAGACCAGCTCTGACTGAAGGTTTTCAGAATGCGCGGTGGGCCGCTCGCTGAGCGGGCCACTGCGTCTTCTCCTTCCATGACAGCTTGGTAAAAACTCATATAAGTTGTCTGTGGTTCTTTCTTCTTATGAAGGTTCAGAAAATACCTATCACCTCAGGTTCTGGTTCTGGTTCTGCTCTGCATCCAGAACCAAATGAGGAGAAGCAGCATTCAGCTTCTATGCAACACAAATCTGGAACAAACTTCCAGAAAACTGTAAAACAGCTGAAACACTGAGTGTCTTTAAATCTCAACTAAAACCCTGTTTAGAGTGGATTTGAAACGTGATCAATTAGGGATTTAGCCACTTAATGTTTTTATTGTTTATTCTATGGTGCATGACTTTTTGTTTTCGTGTTTATGATGTAAAGTGCTTTGAAATGCCTTTCTCCTGAAATGTGCTGTACAAATAACATTTGATTTGATTTTAGTATGAACAGTTTTCGCAAACAGTAGCAGGTAAATTATCCTGTGTCCTTGAAATCCTTGAATTTTCAGAGAATTATGACAACATATTTTCCCAAAAAAATTGCATTGTCTTCAACAAAATCTGGAAGCTATAGTGGCTGGCAGTGTTGTTCTCGAGACCGGTCTTGGTCTTGTCTTGGTCTCGGGTTAGGTGGTCTTGACTACAACACTGCTGTGGAACATAATGTCACTCTGGAATTGTCAACATGTCATGTAAATACAGTCAATATTACTGAACTTACCTGATGTAATAATTTTAAAGTAATTGTATGATAATAATTCTAACCCTTTAGGCCACAACCGGCACTGACAGCAGCTTGTCAGCTCTGACATGACAGCTCCCATCTAGTGGGAGCTGTTATCCGCTATCACAAAAGCCGTGCCATCTGACATGTATTCAGTCTGTGTGTTCAAATATGTATGAGGATTATGATTTTATTAAAATATTTTTTATTTCTATTAGTTTGAAATCAAATTATTCATATTCTAGATTCTATCTGAAACAGAAGCCATGGCAAATGTCACAGATTCAATGGCGGCTGTGTATGTTATGTATTCCATTTTTTATTTATTTATTTTGGTTTAAAATACAGGAATTCATATTTAGTCTGACACAGAAGCCGAGGCATACTTCACATCACCTAGAAGCTGCTGTTATTAAGCGGTGGCTGTTTGTGGCAGCCCGTGCTGCCGGGTCACGGCAGCCTGTGGAGGTTGTGGCAGCCCGTGCTGCCGGGTCACGGCAGCCTGTGGAGGTTGTGGCAGCCCGTGCTGCCGGGTCACGGCAGCCTGTGGAACCTTACGCAGCAGCTGCGACCTGCACAGGCTGGAACTTGGAAATAGTTCAAAGAGGACTTTCTTAGAGGCCTCGATCCACTCCATCCAAATGATTCACAGCCAATAAAATGATGTCATTGTGGCTTTATGTCTTCATTTTGACAACCAGAAAGTTTAAAAACTCATCTTCTACAAGAGTTTTGCTGTCAGAAGTAGTATAAATAACTGGTTTGGGTCTGGATTTAACAAGAGAAGCTCCTCCACCACCTGAAGAACCGCCACCTTCCAGTCAGATGTGCTGCTTGATCTGATTGTTATAAAGTGGTGACTCCTGATCAGCTGAAACAGTAGTGTGGCATTTGCCCAACTTTTCCTTGCCCTTAAGATGACCACGCCAACACTGTGTGTACAAGCATGCAATGAGTTAGGATACAGAGGAAAACACAGAATTATTTATTCCTAACAAGCAGCACCCCATATAATTTGAGATGATAGAACAATGTGGAAAAATAACCTTGGAAATACTACCTGCTTTAACAAATTTCTCAAATAGTCAGATTTCATGTCAAAGAATGGGTGAAACTTTATTTTTACTAAACAGTCTGAGACTTTAACAAGTCCTCTTGTTTCGTTTTTGGATACTAATAAGCCCAAATAAATATTTAACTTCATCCATTCATCCATGTAAGTGTTTTTTTTTCCTGTACAATAAATAGCTGTTAAATGCAGTGGAACAGAACAGAACCGGAAATTGGGGACCGGACTGGTTTCACAGTTTCTCCCTCCAAAACTGAGCATGCGCAGTCGGCATTCGGCAGTTGCTGTGGAATTGTTGTTTAGCTCCTGATGTCAGATCAGAACCGAGCCGGAACTTTAAACGTGAAGCTGTGGGAGTTGAATCGATCCGAGAGGAGCAGCGGGGGGAAGGGGCGGCTGATGGTGGACAGAGGAGCGGGGAGGAACGGAGCGGAGAGGCGGCAGTAGCAGGAGGTGAGTCCGTTAGAAGTTAAACTGCTAATGGTCTCCATGTTTATAAACGCCAAAGAGGGAGATTTCCACCGGAAGTCTCCTTTAAGCTCAGGGAACTGTGAACCTGCTGCTACCTAGATGAAGGTTTGTTGATGATGAAGAGCAGAAGTACCCAGCGGGTTCTTTTGGGTTGGTTCTGTAGCTCTGGGGACCAGAATTATCTCCTCATCTTACCGTTAGAGATTCACCACAAGGAGTTCCAACAGAAACAACTGATGTTCTTCAGATAAGCAGCGACCCCTGCTGGAGAGGTACAGACCTGCTCGGTTCTGTTGACACAGTTTGGACCTATTTTCAGTTACTGAACAAATATGGTTCTCTCTAACAGCTAACATTTCGCCTCTCGCCCGAAATGTTAGCTGGAGAGGCACCAGCAACCCTCCCGACCCCACTAAGGGACAAGGGTGTACAGAAAATGGATGGATGGATGTTTAGGTCTACAGAGAACATCCCGGTCCACTCAGTGGCCCACATCAGCAACCAGACTTATGTGTGAACGGCTTGCAACCCGCATGAGCAGCGGCGGTCTGTTTATTACAGTAAAGATGGCCGCCGCCGTCTATGGACGGATTGTAAAGTTGTTGAGAGCCGTCATAGTTCATTCTGGTGTTATATCCCTAACTTCCTCTTTAGCCAGCTATGCGGTTTGAACCTGCTGCTCATCTCAGGTTTTTAAGTAAATAAGTTTCCTGTGGCATTGTCAGAGAGTTCCATAAACAAATATTGCTGTATTGGAAAATGATAAATATACATAATTTTTATTTATTTGTATTGATTTTTCCTGTGTTATATCTACATTGCCCATTCTGAAGAATGTAAGACTATATTGTTTTTCATGACTGTCTGCTGTAATAGTGACATTTCATGTACGCATGTTGATTTCAAATAATTTAAAAAAAGTTTTTAAAAAAGTGCAAAAAAAAAAAGAGAAGTTGTTGAAAGTTACAGCCAGATCAGAACCAGACAAAGGAAACTAATAAAAATATGTTTGTAGATATGATTTATCCAGACATCCTCAGGCGGCAGTTTTTACTTCGCCAGTTGTTGGGTTTCAGTCATGTGACCCGGATGACGCGCTGTATTCAGATGGAGGGCCGGAAGGGGATTTCTCCGGTTCAAAATAAAGCAAAATGGATCATAAGGAGTAGCTAATGCCCTAAATAGGCTGGAACAGCCGAGGTATCTCGAAAAAATATGCGTACATTTAGGATATGATTCGTATTATCTCTATAAAAAGACTTCTCTTATAATCTTGAGAGCTGCAGACCTCATATTATACGATGAGCCAGAAGAAAGCTTTCAAAAGCCTGGACAATCAATCATTTAGTTTCAAGTTGGGTCAAGCATTTAGGATCAAAAGCAGCATTAGATGGCTGTCGACTTGTTTCTGCCGGGTGAGTACTATATTACGTAAAATAGTTGTGCTATTTTACGTAATTAGATGATAACGATGCTATCGCTAACAACGAGCTAACCCATGTTATTTCTATGAGCTTGAATCTGCTGGTAAATAATTTATTTAGCTTCTGTAAACCCAAATTCATGCTGGATTTGTACGTTAATGTTGAGTCGCTGCTGGATTCAGGTCCAATGTAGATCAACGATTTGCTCGTGTCTGTTGGTGTCCAGACACGAAGCATGTGGGGGAACAGTAACAGCTCACGGTGACTGTATTGCTGGATAGGCTATATTTAATTTATTTAGCTTTTTTATTTTATTTTTTTTAGCATGAAAGTCCCACTGATAAACGTTATATTTTCTGTCCGTGACTCGGCACTGAGCTAGCTGCTAACAACATCAGCGCTCAGAGGACAACAATGCTAGGGCATAAAAATAATATATCTTTCCTTACATATGAATGCTTGTCTTTCAAATAACTGTCCAATAAAACATCTGAAAATACAATTTAAACAATGGGATCGTTTCCTGTTAGAAAGTGGCTGCAAACTCTGGCGTTAGTTTCTGCACCTCCTGCTCTTGGCTGTAGATTGTTGATCCATTTTCTCCCCTTTTTTCACTAAGTTTTTTAAAATCAACTCCCTTGTGACCAACTACATTTGAAACACGAAAATAACGTTTATCTTTCTCTCTATTAGAACAGTTGGAGCAACTGTACAGGACTCAGACTTTAGACATTTTGATGCTGGATCAACAGAAATAAATGGGCTGAATTTACTTCCTGCCCTCCATGTGCATTGGGTGACGTCGGTGCTATGTCATTTGAAACCCAGCAATATGGAGTGAAAATAGTCCCAAAATACATGTGAGTGTGTAATACTGGATTTGTAATTTGTGTAAGCATCTTTGTATGTAACTTTGGATAGATATATCTGTGACACGTGATTAGTAAACCATAAAAAGAAAATTTGTGTGCAGCTTCGGGTACTTGTAAATATGAGGTCAAATGCATACACAAATATGAAGAAATTACGAGTACAAAATAAAAGTACACACACGCAATTACAATTTCTACAAGCATTAAATTTATACACAATTTTTTTTAACTTCAACCTCACAAATCTGATAATTATGAATTCAAACCTTCTCCTACGCCTACAAATGTTAAATAAGTAGCAGGAGTCACCTGACACAGACAGAACTTGATTTTACACACAGATCCGGTTACGATGCATGAGGATTTTTGGGACTCATTTCATGCTTCAGACAGCCTCAGATTGGTGTGTATGCGGTGCGTTAAAATGCTGGTGGAAAGTCCAGTGTTTTCATCCTCTGAACGTTTGTCACTGTGCTTGTGCCGAAGTGGCAAAGACGTTATTTTGTTGGAAAACGGAATATTTCAGTACTTCTTGTCAATACTTAAAAATTATTTATAGACATTTTGTGCATTTTTGAGCGGTACAGATGAGATTATCATTATTGCATTTATTATTTTTTTGAATAATGTGTTTATTTGCATCTTTTAATTTATTGTCTCTCGGATTGGGTCGTGTTCTTCTGCTGTGAATGCAGCGTCTGAGCTCATTTTACTGATGTTTGGTGTGTCTCAGGTGAAGACCTCTCCGGTCGTCATGGCGACAGCGGGAGACCCAGGAGACATCCATGCCCGGCAGGTAAAGCTCAGATCTCTGCCGTTCAAGTGGGACAGAGACAGGAAGTGGCTCCAGACCTGACGCTCTTCCTCCTCCTCCTCTTCCTCAGTGCGGGACCTGTGACGGCGCCTCGGCCTCCTGCTGGTGTGTGGACTGCAGTGAAGCTCTGTGCGACGCCTGTCTAGCGGCTCACCGCCGGGTCACCCTGACCCGATCCCACCGAGTTCTGAACCGGCAGCCTGAAGGTCCGCCGGTCCGGTTCCTCCTGGTTTATGGCTAGTTCACTCCAGACTTGCTGATGTTTCTATTTCCTCCCCAGGACCCAGTTTGGTTTTTCCCACCAAGTTCTGCAGAATCCACCCGTCTGAGGAGCTGAAGCTGTTCTGCTTCAGCTGCTGCCAGCTCACCTGCAGGGACTGCCAGCTGGCGGACCACCAGAACCACAGGTGCTCCTCCAACCTCCATCAAACTGGGACTGTAAGGAGCAGGCTGGGTTGTCAGGAGAGTCTCTAGCAGTCAGTAGCTTACTAGGACTCGTCTCTCTGTGCAAAACACAACAAACGAGTAGGGCTGGGCAATAAATCAATAACAATATTCATCTCAATAAACACGTGATCAATATCAATAGATAGTATGTCTGATAGAATAGTCAATACATTGAATATTCACTGAACTTTGGTCCAAAACTGCACACCATTCTGGGAGATGTAGGCAGAGGAAATAATGTAGTTGCTCAGCCTCTCATGGCTAGCTGAGCATGGTAGCATCAACTCACTCACTCTCTGGTTGCATAGCAACAACCTGCTGAGTAACTTGCACAGCAGCAGTTTCATGTTTTGCCTCAAAACTGCTTAAAAATAAAAACAACTGCATGGAGTGAAAACTGCGGATGAAACAGGAAAATCAGGCCACCAGTTTGGCAGGATTTCAGATATTTAAAACGAAAACTAATCAATAATTATCAATATTGACTGATATGGAATGCTTATATTATGATACTTTTTCAGCCACATTGTCCAGCCTGACAAACGATACATAAAAATATCCATTAATGTCTCACAGCAGATAAGTTTCTGCTCAACAGCAGCAAAGTGATGGGAAATCAAAGCCAGTAGATTCACACAGATGGGAATCTGCAGAATACATAAAAACGGGATAAACATCAAAATACTGTACAGTAAAGGCAACATTTCATCAATTCTGAGCTGTTATTTAAGCAGTCCAAAGAAATGGGCAACTGATTACATAATTAAAACAAATTATTTACAATTAGTGACAATAGAAACTATGCAGAAACCAGCAGGGAGTGAATATCTGGTTTGATGGGAGCAGTAATGCTCATCAGCTGCTGGGAGGAAGGATCTGCATGATGCTCCTCTTAGGGCTGAAACCATTCATCTCCAAACTACAAAAAAAAATTTAGCATTTAAAAACACTTACATATTCTACAAAGACCTGTTTTAGCTTCATCCGGTTCAAATTCTTTAACAGAAAAAGAAAAACCTCCCATCGAGCTCCTTTTTCTGTCCATTAATTAATAAGTTAATCCAGAAATAATCCCCAGATCAGCCTTTCACTGTACGGCTGCTACGTCAATCAGAAAGGCCTAAGCTGTTATCAATGCTCAGTCTATAAGAAAAAAAAAGCTGTGTGTGTCATGACCTTTGACCTCTCCCTGGCCTTTCCAGGTTCGACTTTGTCAGCAAAGCGGTGGCAAGTGTGAAGAAGCAGCTGGACGCCTGCATGCAGCCATTCAGAGCACAGATGGACGCGTCCAGGAGGAGCCTGCAGGACATGGAGACCAGGTAGGGTCGCCATGGAGACCGTCCCCAGGATGAAGACGGGCCTCCTCGTCTCCTGCTGTCCAGAGCAGCTGCTGTTGTTAGGAAGTTCCATCTCCAGGGGGCGCTGCAGGTTGGCAGGCCTTGGTCAATGTCATTATAAAATCCTCTTCTGGAGAGCCAGCAGGTCTCCAGGTTCTAACCCGATCTGACCTGTCCCAGCTCTAACCTGACACGGCTGTAACTTGATGCGGCTCTACCCCGACCCGATCCAGTTCTAACCCCTGCTGTTGTGTCCAGGCTGCAGGTTCTGGCCCGCTGCGAGTCCTTCATGACCTCCAAGCTGCAGAAACACGTCGACACGCTGATGGAGATGCTGAAGAAAAGGTTTGAGGAGATCATCAAGCAGATCCAGGTAACTCCAACCAGACTGGGTAAACTTGTTCTACTGGTTCTACCTCCATTAATTGGCTGCTTCATTCTGGACCTCGTGGTTTTGTTCCTGTGTGCAGGTTGTCTACAACGTGGAGCGCAACCTGATCAGCAGGAAGATGGAGAAGGTGAAGCAGCTGCAGCAGAGCCACGTCCCTCTGACTGAAGCAGCAGAAAAGGCCAGAAGCACCACCAACCTGCCCACCCTGGTGGGCTGCATATCCCAGGTACGACCTGCCCCCATCAAGCCACGCAGACCAACCCAACGGCCCAGTCGAAGCCTGAGGTCCAACGGCCCAGTCGAAGCCTGAGGTCCAACGGCCCAGTCGAAGCCTCAGTTAGATGATTAGCTTTGTGGCAGAAGGACAGGAAATGCTTTTTGCTGTCCCTCAGCATCATGTAGTCTGATGGTTGGTATAGAGACCAGGATGTTGATATTTGCTACAGAGCACCGCTAACTATGAAGTTAACTTTGCTAACCCTAAAGTACTAATCGTAAACATTCGTTTTGCTAATGCTGACATGTTACATTTAGTGGAAGCTAATGCTAAATTGCTAACTACAACCATCCTGAGACCCACCATGTGCCAATAACACAACATAAAATATCATTAAATTCAAAACTATTATACACCATTAGTAAGCACTCTTCCTCTAATTCACCAATAGCAGAGCTAATCTTTAGCTTAGAGCTTTTGTTAACTTTTAAAATGTTTAGCACACTTAGCTTCCCCTAAATCAGTGCTTCTCAATTCCGGTCCTCAGGCCCCCTTCCCTGCATGTTTTAGGTGTTTCCCCACTGCCACACACTTGGATTGAATCTATGGGTGATTAACAAGCTTCTGCAGCACTTGATGCCTGCAGAAGAGGTAATGCAATCATTTAGATCAGCTGTTGTGAAATACAGGCAGATCTAAAACATGCAGAGCAGGAGGGCCTGAGGACTGGAATTGAGAAGCACTGCCCTAAATAAATACCGACGCTCTAATTTACTTTGCTGTTTTGTAAACTTCCAGTTGATTAAAGGTCAATGTCTGTGTTGAAGTTTTGGTTATTGACTGTTAAAAATTTGTCAAATATTTAGATGTTTATATTCATGCTCTTATTTTGAAGTCTGTTTAAATAGTAGTTCTGTTTTCTCTTCTTCCGTTTTTTGTTTACCAAGAAACTTCATTGAACAACTTAATTAGGGGAAGCTAAGTGCGCTAAAAGTTGTCAATGTTGGCAAAAGTGCTAAGCTAAAATTTAGCTATGCTAATTAGCGCATTAGCAGAAGTTTTCCCACCATTAGCTGCAGGGATTCCCAGATGAACAGTCTTCCTTTTTCCTTCATTAATTTGTTTTCAATACCTGAGATGTTGATGATATTAATTAGTTCATTAATAAGTCAGATGAGTCATTAAACTCAAACATGAACGCTGTAACCAGGCGTGTTTCCTGTCCTGGTAGATCACCTCCCAGATGAAGGATCTGGTAGACGAGGACTCGCGTCCTCCTTCCAAGATGATCGACGTGAAGGTCATCACCGACAGAAACTCTGTGGAGGGAATCCTGAATTTCGGTAAGATTCGGATCGGATCTGGTTGATTGCTGGGTTCAGTTCTGATTCATTTGGTTTTTATCTGATGAGAAGGAGAAAGAAAATGGATGAATATTTTAAAACCAGCAGCAGAGATTCAGTTCTGTTTGATGTTCAGATCAGGAGGTTATAAAAATCAAAAATGGCGTCTGGATTCATTCAAGCCTTCAGCTGTTGTAGTTCTGATGGTTCTGGTTCACACAGAAAAATATTCAATCAGATCAATGAAAAGGATTTTGGACAGAAATGTTCTGGTCTGGACTCCTGCATGAATTACTGCATCAATGCGGCGAATCACAGAGGTTCTGATCTGGCCCGTTTGCTGGCCCATAAAGCCCAATATCCCCAGGGTTATTGGCCAGTTTTTGGTACCGTTTGCACTTTGGGTCGGTACCACATCCTGCTGAAAAATGAAACCAGCCGACAGGGCGACCCAGATCCTTCAACAGCGTGGGTTCTGGTTCTGATCCACTCCACTCCTCCAGACTCTGAGGTCCTGAGGTCCAAATGAAGTAAAAACTTTCACAGAACTCCTTAAGCCACCTGAAGTTCTGATCCAGATGGCGAGCTGAAAGGCGAGTTTCATTTCATCACAGGTTCTGATTGGTCGGGTTCAGGAACTGGACTACAGCAGCCCAGAGAACCGTTCACCAGTGGGTTGGACCCGGTTTTGTTTAGAGATTGTGACCCGTTGTTTCTGGTTCCAGGTAAACTCCACGTCTCCTGGATCCCCTTCTCCACTCGGCAGGTTGAACCTCCACCATCCTCTTCCTCCCTGCTTCCTGCTCCGCCCACCTCCACCTGCCGACCCCTCACCTGCAGCAATGCCACGACCAACAGCAGTTCTGTTGATGTTGCTGCTCCTCCAGCTGGGTCCACTAGCACCTTCATCAGAACCGGTCCGTTCTCTGGGTCTGGTACCGCTGCTTCCTCAGCTCCACCCGTCAGGATTAGCTGCTCTACTCCTCCACCCTACTCTTCCTCTTCCTACCCTTCCTCGTCTGTGGACGCCATGACGGACTTCATAGAGAACAATAAAGCAGTTCTTCATCCCAAGTCTTCCTCCATCAGTAAGCTGGACCCGAGCTGTGGTTCCTGGGGACCTTCAGCCCAGATACCCAGGGTTCCCTCTTCCAACAACTCACTTCCTGTTCCTGCTTCCACCTCACTTTCTGTTCCTGCTTCCACCTCACTTCCTGGTTTAACCTCACTTCCTGTTTCTGCTTCTGCCTCATTTCCTGTTTCTGCTTCTGCCTCATTTCATCCTGTGGCTTTGACCTCACTTCCTGTCCCTGCTTCCACCTCACTTCCTGTCCCTGCTTCCACATCACTTCCTGTCCCTGCTTCCACCTCATTTCTTGTCCCTGCTTCCACCTCACTTCCTGTCCCTGCTTCCACATCACTTCCTGTTCCTGCTTCCACATCACTTCCTGTTCCTGCGGTGGTTAAGTCCAGAGCCGCTCAGGACATTGAAGCCAGGAACCCGTTCCTCTGGAGCCTCCTCAGTCAGTCGTCCCCGTCCTCTTCATCTCTGTCCTCTTCGTCTCCGTCCTCTTCGTCTCCGGCCAGTCCGTCTCTGCCTTCCTCAGGTCTGGTTCGTGGTCAGAGTTCATCCAGTTGCTCCTCTTCCTCGTTGACTTCAGACGTTCGGCTTCAAACCTCGACCACCAAAGGTCCTGGAAGGGTGGCAGACCGATCTGAAGGAGCAAAGCCTACTCCGTCACCGGAGCCGTCCAGAGGTTTAGATTCTGCGGTCAGGATCAATGTTCTGACCAAGTCCCAGCTGGAGTCCAGCTCAGATAAACTGTTTGTCAAGTTTCAGTGGATGAAGAAGAAGAACTCCAAGTCTTCCAAGTCCAGCAGCTCTTTGGTACCCAGTTCTCCTAAAATAAAGAGGTTACTCTCTGGGAAACGGCAGCCTCAGAGGATTCAGAACCAGCCTGGCAGTCCGGTCCGAAAACTGAACCGCCAGGCTAGTGGCATGGAGTCTTTACCCTCCATGCCCTCCGTTCCTCCGTTCCCATCCACCGATCTGGTCTTCTCCAAGGCGGTTTCCACAGCAGCTCCACCCGGCAACATTCAGCCGCTGGTCCAGCTGTCGCCTAGTCTCAACCAGCAGGTTCTCGGCCAGAACCTCCCACCTTCCATCCTGCTGCTGACCAACACCAGCCAGAATCCTGTGACTGGCTCCGGTTCTGGTCCCCCCTCTTCGGTTTCGGCTGGTCCTCAAACTCTTCCAGGAAATGACCCATCTGTCCGGTGGAGTCCAGAGATCCAGAACCTTCCTGAATCCAACAACCTGCAGCTCCTAGAATGTCTCGTCTCCGAGGTTGGACTTCCTTCCTCCGCCTTGAAAGACCAGCAGCAGAATCCTGCTTCAAAGCAGACGGGCAAACGAAAGGAACCAAACAGACTGGTACAAGGTTCTTCAGCTGGAATTGATCCACCATTAGGGTGCAGATCATCTGACCCAACCAGGACTGGAGCCTCTGACCAGGACCTCATTGTGGTGCTGTCAGACGACGAGTCGCTGCCTGACGTGTATGAGGTTCAACCCAGCGTTGAGGAGGTCCGGTCGTTTCTTCCTCCAGTTACTGTTGGAGGTTCAGATGTCGAAATCAATATCGTTGAGACCAAACCTCCAGGGTTCGAGTCCAAACCAAGAACATTAAAGTTTATAGAAAGAGACATCTTTGATGAACCAGCTTCACCGGCAGTGTCAGAGGACAGGATGTCCACTGCCTTGTCTGAAGTACCTGAACTAGGACTCAAACTGTCTTCCTCTGAAACATCTGACAGCGACGATGAAGACTTGCTGAGCATTCGGACTGAACAGCTGGACTACGGCCAGCTCTGCTGGCAGCCCACAGTGTCTCTGCTGAGACTTCCCCTGTCCCTGCCTGGACCTGGACGGCCCCTGCCTCGCTTCCATTTCATCCTTGGAGACAAGCAAGACGAGCTGTATCTGCAGGAGATGGAAGAGGACGATCAGGTTGGTTCTACATCGTAATGGACTCAAAGAACAGCATCTGCTCAGATCAGGTCCTGTTATGCTTGTTGTTCTGCTGTCCCACAGTACAGCGACGAGGACGTCTCAGAGATCGTCACTGACCATGACTCTGACGTCACCGAAGACTTCACCATTCTTCAGTCTACAGAGTCTCCACTGTCCCTGGAGGTCATTTCCTGTGCTGCTTGCGGATCATCCAGTGCGTCAAAGATCTGCACTGTCTGTGGTCGGGGGTACCACAGAGACTGCCACGTCCCTCCGTTTGGACCAGACATCTGGTAGGACTTACCTTCATCTGCTGATGGAGCTGATCTTGAGATTTTTGGTGCAATTTAGACGTAGCGTGACGTCATCTGCAGTTCTATACTCCTAGAAACTATTTGGTGGTGCTTTAAGAAACAAATCTGAGCAGCCATCCCTGAAGTGAGTCACTCTACTTTTCTACTGGATCTCTATCTGGAGCCTGGTTCAGATGTAGCATCTGGGCTGAAGAAAAGGAGATCATATAAGTCCAAATAAAGCTTTCTGCAACATCTGTGACCCCAAGATCAATGCTGAACCCTGAAAACAGCGAGTGAGAACTCACTGAAAACCTCAATCTAAATATTTAATGTAATCAGTAATGGTCAAGACTAACTGCAAAGCTAATTGCGCTAGCACTAAAGCACTAAACATAAATGTTAGTTCCACTAATGCTAAAGAGCTATGTGCACATAGCATTTAGCGAAAGCTAACTCTAAAGAGCTGCAGCAACAAGGTATTATCAAACGCTAATGCTACAGTAATTAACTCAATTCAGCCATGCTGTCACCCGCCAGGTGTCAGTGATGCATGTGCTGCTACATCATATGTTGCCCTCATCTTCTTTAAATCAAATTTTATTTGTATAGCACATTTCAGCAACAAGGCATCTCAAAGAGATTTACGTAATAAAACACAAAGTCATGCAACAGAATCAAGAACTGAAACATGACATTGAATCAAGAGCCATCATTCAATTCTTAATCGATTATTCTTCAGAATCCACTCTGACCAGCTGAGTTTCAGTCTGGATTTAAAGGAGCTCAGTGTTTCAGCTGTTTTACAGTTTTCTGGAAGTTTGTTCCAGATTTGTGGTGCATAGAAGCTGAATGTTGCTTCTCCTCGTTTGGTTCTGGTTCTGTATGCAGAGTAGAACAAGAACCTGAGGGGTCTGGAAGGTTGATACATCAGCAGCAGATCTTTAATGTATTGTGGTGCTGAGCTGTGTTATATCAGTATTTTAAAGTCTGTCCTCTTAGTGGAACTGGGTGTTATGAGCTCCACCTTCCTGGTTCTAGTCAGAACAGCAGCAGCAGCTTCTGGATCAGCTGCAGCAGGAGGATTGATTTGTTAGTCAGACCTGTGAAGACGCTGCTGCAGGAATCGGTGCGACTGAAGATATAAACGCCTGGATGAGTTTCTCTGGATCGCTCTGAGACATCAGTCCTCTGATCCTGGAGATTCTTCAGGTGAGAAAAGGCCGACTTTGTACAGCGATCCCTTGTTTTTCTTTGTGGCGTTCTGAAAATAACCACGATAAGTGAAATCCGTGAAGTAGTTACCTTTAGTTTTTACAGTTATTATACAGCATAAATAAATACATTGAAACCAAAGAACAAAACCTGTTTTCAGATCAGCGGATGTTCATCAATCGGCCTTAATGTGATCCGGAGTCGTGGCATTAAAGCGTCTCCTCCAACCTGCCCCGAGATTCACAGCTGGATCTACGGCAGAGCGACGGATCTGAGCCTCCGGTCGGGTTCTGCTGCCTCTGGCCAGTTTTATCCATCAGGCATTCAAAGTTTTCAGCTTTCATCTCCTGAATGGCCAATCTGTAGTTAGCCAATCAGGACGCAGAACACAACGCACTGTGAAAAAAACTGCACAAAACAATCTGTGAAGCAGCGAGACGGCGAAGGATCACTGTAACTGTCTTTATGTGGCTTTGAAGGTTCAGGTCAGACAAGTCGGGTTTGGTATGTGAGCGCTAAGAAGAGAAGTGCCGAGTAGAACATGTTGATTCATTTCATCCGTAAATTTGAGAAACTCTGGTTTCTTCGTAGGTATGTTATGACTGTAGGGAATGAGTGTGGGAGTGTGGAGGGAGGAGGAGGGGAACCAGCTGCTCTGTCTGCAGTCGATGTTTTATCAGCTTGTTTTGGTCCTGATAAGCTGAGGGATCCATCCTAGTCACACATCCTTGAGCCTGTTCCTCTGAAGCGATGGTCACATTGTTGTTGATAAAATGAAAAATGTTTGCAGTGAGCAGCCTTATTCCATGTTTGTTCAGACTGCGTCCTCCTCTTCCTAGAGGTGAAAGCGCTGCCAGTAGATCCAGAGGTCATCGATGAAGGTCACTGAG